TCTCTCTCTCTCTCTCTCTAGGAGCCGTTGTTCGAGTTGTCTGATACGATGGAGTCGGGCAGAGGAAAATGTCCCTTCAGCCCCAGAGAGCCGTTTACTGCTCGCCTGACGGGTACACACACACACACACACACACACACACACACACACACACACACACACACACACACACACACACACACACACACACACACACACACTGACACACAGTAGTACAGTCTCTCCTCTGTCTGTTTGCCGGTGGTCCGCTTCAGTTATTCCACTTATTTCACATTTTGCTGTCTCACGGACATAAAACACATCAACAGAGTTCGGATCCATTTCACACATAAACCATAAAAGTCCGATTTAAGTCGTTAAACTGAGTTCCTCTACATCTGATAGCTGTGTGTTGGCAGCAAGAGGAGCCACACTTTAACAGCAAACATGTTGTTTTTTATTGCAGAATGTGTTGTTCACTGCTAACAGAGGCAAGCATTTTCATAACTTAGCTTGTAAATATGTACAGTTTTACTCTGGAGCATAGAGAACCGCAGTGCGAAGTAAGTTAGCATTTTGACCACGTCCGGTTCCTTCGACAAAAAGCAATGCAATTTCTCCATAGGATTTAGGAAAATATCTGTAAATAAGGTCTGTGTTTGACACAAATTGAAGAGACAGATCACGTTTTGTTCTACGACATTAAATCCATCAGCAGTGACCCCGCTGGTGATTTCTGAAGAGTTGATGTGTCTGAAAAACTATGGTTGTTACCAAGTGGCTGAATAGGACTGCAGAAGTAGTGGAGGCCATTTTACATCATTACACCGAACACGTAAACACTCCTCTAAGTTTGTTTGCCCTGTTCTGCTTGAAAGCAAGTACCTGCCTCCTGCAAACTGTTCAAACAAACGCTTCAACTCGTACCATTTAGAATCTGTGTGTTTGAATATGGATCTTAAATTGGCGTGACGTTGAAGCAGCGACCCTGCTGTAGTTCGTTTATAGCATAACGTTAGCATTTTGCTTCTGGCGACTAGATTTATGATTCGAAAATTATAAAATTACGGTAGACATGTGGATATTATCCGGCTGAACAAAACGTGATCCGTCTCTTAAATGTGTGTCAACCACAGACCTTATTTCCAGCTATTTTCCAAAATCCTATGGAGAAATTGCATTGCGTTTTTGACGAAGGAACCGGAAGGAGTTTACTTCCGGGTTTTAGGACGCGTCACTATGTCACGCGGTTCTCTATTACCAGTAAAAGAACATTGTGAAATAACAATAAATGCGGTAAAATGGTAATCCATTGCCGTCTGATACAAATACTTGTCATCTCATTTTAATCTTGCAATATATTGCAAACAAAGCATACATGTATTGTGTGTTATCAAGTTGTTACGTTACCTTATAAACTAGGGGAACAAAGGGAAGTAACAACATCTAAAATAACCAGGAGAAAAAAGAAAGAGGAAACTGATTGGCAAAATTAGAAGATCATTTTTCTATTAATCAAAGTCAAAGTCAACTTTATTGTCAATCTTTCAGTTTGTGTGTACAGCCAGAGAGATCGAAGTACCGTTTCCCACAATCCCGAATACAAAAATACAAATATAAAAATATGTTTGTAAATATGTATATATACCTATACTGTATCAAAGACACATGTATACATATGCACACATTAAGACATACATAAAAAGACAACAATCAATATATACAAAATAACAGTCACTTCAATATCTTGAGAATGTGCGTTAGTCTGCGTAAAAAGTGTCTGGATTTCAGTGTAAAAATAAAGAGGGCTTACTAGTCAATTTACTAAATAACCTTAAGACAAACTAAGAAGAACTTTCATATAAAATAAAGTGATTAAAGAGAGAGACACACACTAACAAAACACGGCACGTAACAACGTTTTGTAACATTATTGCATGAATCAGTACGATTATCAGTATAATGCATTTCAGCCTTTTCATTTTTCACAGTTGAACAAATGGAGGATTATTCCGGTGAATACTAAACAAACATTTGCTAACAATGCTATTTACACCCGGGTGTCCGTAGCTAACTATGCTATTTGCACCCAGGTGTCTGTATCTAACAATGCTATTTACACCCGGGTGTCCGTAGCTAACAATGTTATTTACACCCGGGTGTCTGTAGCTAACAATGCTATTTACACCCGGTGTCCGTAGCTAACAATGCTATTTACACCCGGGTGTAAGTAGCTAACAATGCTATTTATACCCGGGTGTCTGTAGCTAACAATGCTACTTACACCCAGGTGTCTGTAGCTAACAATGCTATTTACACCCGGGTGTCCATAGCTAACAATGCTATTTATACCCGGTGTCTGTAGCTAACAATGCTGTTTACACCCGGGTGTCCGTAGCTAACAATGCTATTTACACCCGGTGTCCGTAGCTAACAATGCTATTTACACCCGGTGTCCGTAGCTAACAATGCTATTTACACCCGGTGTCCGTAGCTAACAATGCTATTTACACCCGGTGTCCGTAGCTAACAATGCTATTTACACCCGGTGTCCGTAGCTAACAATGCTATTTACCCCCGGTGTCCGTAGCTAACAATGCTATTTACCCCCGGTGTCCGTAGCTAAATTGAACAAATGGAGGATTATTCCGGTGAATACTAAACAAACATTGTTTCCACTTTGTTCCAAGTCCTAAACATGTTGGATTACACTGTCCAACTCACATTTAGAACATAATCTGAATATTGGCTTGCTCTCTTGCCTCTCAGGGCCATTGGTCAGTAAAGGAATCTAACTAAAGCTTCTGTTTCAAAATTCAGATTATGTTTTCTCAAGGGATGTCATTTGTCTCTTTTAGTCTGTGTTTTATTTCTTTATTTCCTCATTATTTCTCCCGCTCTCCCCCCTCCCCAGACGGTGAGCTCTATGCAGGAACTTCGGTGGATTTTATGGGAGCGAACGCTGCGTTTGTCCGTTCCTCGGTGCAGGGAAACAGTCAGAACTACATCAGCTCACAGGCCTTCGATCACAACTGGCTCAACGGTGAGGAACACTTCTCTTATACTCATTATTTATATCAGCTAAGGCAGTGGTTCCCAACCTTTTTCAATCAGGCCCCCCTTGTGTAATTGGAAATATTTTCGAGCCCCCCCTAACCCGGTTCCCACCGAGATTGGTAGAATTAATTGTATATAGTTGTAGAAACATTACATTTTCTCTGCTAATAATAACAAGACCAAAAGATCCAACTCTAATTTTATATTTTATTATGGATGAACATGAACAAAGTTGCTTGTATTGGCAGATGATCCACTGTGAAATAATTAGGCTTAATTGAAACAATTACAAATACTGCTTATCGATCCGGTTCTTTAACAGTATTTTTATTGGTTATTTTTGTTATTTTTTAGGGGAAAAACTAAACAAATTAGAAACAGAATTCACATTGGTTCATGTTATGTATAGTGTGCATTATGGGCTGCTAGCACACATGACATAGGCCTGTAGTGGTAGTAGTAAGTAGATCAAGTACTGTACTTATATTGAGGTACTTAAGTATTTACACTTTTGCTCCTTTGTTCTTCTTCTCCTCGAAGAGACTAAAAGCACAAAAGATACTTTTACTTTGGTAAAGTAAGTTTATTTTGATGCTTTTAAGTAAGATTTTGAATACAGGACATTTACTTATCTTAATAATAATAATAATGGATTTATTTTGTAAGCGCTTTTACAGCTGCTCTAAGTCGCTTTACAGAGATAGTGAAAAAAAGAACAACAAATAAATAAATATAGTTAAAGTCACATTAAAATCAAGCAATTCAAAAACAAGCACCTTGGAGTGAGTATCTGTAGTTTATCTTTACCTTTCTCCTTCCTCTCAGAGCCGGAGTTCGTGGGCTCCTTCTCGATCCCCGACACTCACAGCCCGGACGACGATAAAGTGTACTTGTTCTTCAGAGAGCGAGCGGTGGAGGCGGGTCAGTGGGAGAAGAGGACGTACAGCCGCGTGGCCAGAGTCTGCAAGGTAACAGCCAGTTATCTTCACTGTTGTTGATCTTTTGTTTGAGGTACTTTGCTTGTTGTTCTACCAAAACGCTGTGGTGTGTTCATATATCATCCTCATTATTTGTTAACACCACACACACTTGTAATTGGTTGTTACCGGTGATTGTCACATGGGTGTGGCTAATGGTATTTGGGATAGTGGTGGTCTAATGGATAGTTAGGTGGGCTGAAGATCGGAAGGTTGTGAGTTCAAATCCCGCCTGGAACACCACCACTAGTGTGCCCTTGAGTAAGGCCCTTAGTTACTCCAGGGAGAATGTCCCTGTAATTGGTCATTGTAAGTCGCTTTGGATAAAAGCCTCAGCTAAATGAAACGTAATGTAATGTAATGTTTAGGGCACCTGGTGTATGTGGAGGTTTAGTAGCAATGGGAATATACTGTAGCCGCCACAAACAGCATGTTGTGATTTTTACTTTTACATTTTTTTGAAAAAATCGAATACATAAAAAATAAATATTTAAATAAGAAATCTGAGGGAAAAAAATTAAAATGATTAAATTAAATAAGAAATAAATATTCAAATAATAAATATGGAAAAATAAATACATTTAAAAATTATATTAAAGGCATATAAGGCATATTTATACTTTTTTGTTTTCAAAATACCAAACAGATCATGCATTTTAGACATGCCTCATTTCGCTCAATTTGACATTTTTTAGCTCTGTTTTAGCAAGGGCTGATTCAGTGAGAACAGCACCACCTACAGGCCTGGCATATGTACTACAGCGTCTCCAGCGCTTTAGAACGGCAATGCCGTGGCTGTCTCCTCCTGATTGGTGGAGTTGGCCCAATAGCCGTAGCGCCACCGTCCTGACGTCAGGACAGTGTTCAAATCTGGATCAGTTTTTATCAGATCCGTTGCAGCCCCTTTTTTAGAGATTTGGGTATGGAGGAAAATAGAGAGGGTTGTGTTTTCTGACACTTGGTGAGTTCCCTGGAACACCGGGGACACATATTCATGTAGAAAAGACGTACAAAAGTGCATTTTGCATGATAGGTCCCCTTTAAGTTAAAGTTTTAAGTAAGTTTGTAGAGGTACAGCTGTAAAGATCCTAAAAATCTGCAATGTGTAAAATAAATGTGAATGAAAGCATATTTAGTTTTTTAACTCTGTTTCTCCCCCTCCTCTTCCTCCCCCTCCTCTTCATCTCAGAATGACGTTGGAGGAAAGAGGAGTTTGATCAATCGATGGACGACCTTCCTGAAGGCCCGGCTGGTTTGTTCTGTTCCTGGAGAGGGAGGAGTGGACACACACTTTGATGAACTCGGTAACACTCTTCCTCTTCCTCTTCTTCCTCACCCCACCTGTCCATCATTGTGTTTTCATGATTTAGTTCAACAGGTGTGAGCTGTCTCCTCTCTGCCTGATGATGACTGAAACTCTCTTTGAAATGCCAATTAAGCATCCCTTTTATTAGACCCTTGCTAACTAAGTCAATAAATGAAACCCTATTTGTGTGCGTTGATGCAACATTACAGCTGATAGTAAAACAGTGCATGAAACAATTTGTCACCTTTTTGTTCCTAGAGGACATCTTTGTTCTGGAGACGAAGGACCCTCAGAACCCGACAATCTACGGAGTCTTCAGCACGTCCAGGTGAGGAAACACTCTCTCTCTGAAAACATCAAGACTCTGACGACAACTTTTTATTTGCAGTATTTTTGACTTTTCTCATAATTCTATGTTTTTTCTCAGAATTTTCATTTATTTTCAGAATTCTGAACTTTTTTCTCAGAATTTTTATTTCGACTGTTTCATAGAATTTCACTTTTTTCAGAATTTCACTTTTTATCTCAGACATTTTTGTTTCTCAAATATTCGACTCTTTCTCCGAATTTTGATTTATTTTCAAAATGTTGACTATTATTTTCAGTACAATAATACAATTAACAATCATGTGTTAACCCTCACATTTTCTCCTCCACCTCCCCCTCCCCCTCCTCCTCCTCCTCTTCCTCCTCTCCTTCCTCCTCTTCCTCCTGCAGTTCTGTATTTCGTGGTTCTGCAGTGTGTGTGTTCTCCATGGCGTCTATTCGTGCTGCTTTCAACGGACCGTTTGCACACAAAGAAAGTGCAGACTCTCGCTGGGTGGAGTACAAAGGACGCATCCCATACCCCAGACCTGGCACTGTGAGTACACACACACACACACACACACACACACACACACACACACACACACACACACACACACACACACACACACACACACACACACACACACACACACACACACACACACACACACACACACAGTTTATCATTTTTTTCCCTGTGTATTGTACAGTCATTGTAACATGTATTGCTTTGTAATTTGTTGTCTGTGTGTTGTCCTTTGCCTCATTTAACGTTGCATTTTGACTGGACCAGTCTTGTATTAATAACCTGATTGTTTGTTGTTTTTGTGTACCTATACACATTTGAAAAAACCAAACAAAAAAACCAAACATTTTTCTGCCTCTTTTTTCCACGCAGTGTCCCAGCGAGACGTACGACGCCCTCCATAAATCCACCAGAGACTTCCCTGATGAGGTGGTGAGCTTCATGCGGGCGCACCAGCTGATGTGGGACCCCGTGCTGCCTCTGGGCCGCAGACCGGTCCTGACCCGAGTCAACAGCACCAGCATCCTGAAGAGGGTGGTGGTGGACCGCGTGGAGGCCGAGGACGGAGCCTACGAGGTCCTGCACCTGGGCACAGGTAGGGAGAAGAATGGAAGAGGGAAGCTTGTAGAGGAAATGAAAGTGTTTTAACCCTTTGTAAGGTAAAAGAACAGGTTTGTGTTTCTTAAGATGTCGATTTTAATTCAGAGATGGCAAAAGTACACACATCCTTTACTCAGGTAGAAGTACAGGTAATCGTGTTTAAAAATACTCTGGTAAAAGTAGAAGTTCTGACTAAACTTCTTTACTCAAGTAAAAGTAAAGAGGCTTTGAAATGTACTTCAGTAAAAAGTACCCATAACTAGCAGCTGTTTTAAAGAGTACCTGACCTCCCTTTATATTAATAGAACAATAATGTCATTGTTAGCTAATGAATGTTTCCATGCTGAACAACGGCAACATGACAACGTTTTCATTGGTCCCTCTTCTTTAGAGAAGACCAGGAAATGATGGATACACGGATCGTGTTCAAATCAATAGGCACGCAATGACTCTAAAGAATAATGATCACGCCACCAAACACACATTCAAACTAAAGGAACCAGCCTGTTTGGGAAATGAGAGAAGTAGAAAGTACAGGTATTTGTGTTCAAAATGTAAGAAGTAGAAAGTACAGGTATTTGGGTTCAACATGTAAGAAGTAGAAAGTACAGGTATTTGTGTTCAAAATGTAAGAAGTAGAAAGTACAGGTATTTGGGTTCAACATGTAAGAAGTAGAAAGTACAGGTATTTGGGTTCAACATGTAAGAAGTAGAAAGTACAGGTATTTGTGTTCAACATGTAAGAAGTAGAAAGTACAGGTATTTGTGTTCAACATGTAAGAAGTAGAAAGTAAAGGTATTTGGGTTCAACATGTAAGAAGTAGAAAGTACAGGTATTTGTGTTCAACATGTAAGAAGTAGAAAGTACAGGTATTTGGGTTCAACATGTGAGAAGTAGAAAGTACAGGTATTAGTGTTCAACATGTAAGAAGTAGAAAGTACAGGTATTTGTGTTCAACATGTAAGAAGTAGAAAGTACAGGTATTTGGGTTCAACATGTAAGAAGTAGAAAGTACAGGTATTTGTGTTCAACATGTAAGAAGTAGAAAGTACAGGTATTTGTGTTCAACATGTAAGAAGTAGAAAGTACAGGTATTTGTGTTCAACATGTAAGAAGTAGAAAGTAAAGGTATTTGGGTTCAACATGTGAGAAGTAGAAAGTACAGGTATTTGGGTTCAACATGTAAGAAGTAGAAAGTACAGGTATTTGTGTTCAACATGTAAGAAGTAGAAAGTACAGGTATTTGGGTTCAACATGTAAGAAGTAGAAAGTACAGGTATTTGTGTTCAACATGTAAGAAGTAAAAGTAAAAAGTCGTCAGAAAAATAAGTAGTGGAGTAAAGTACTGATACCAGAAACATGTACTTAAGTACAGTAACGAATTGTCAGGTGAACTGTAAAGGTTCATATTTTTCAAGTTCATATTTGTATTTGTTGCCTCTACTCTGACATGTGTCCGCGTCACATTGACTTTACATGAAATCGTGCCGTTATTCAAAAAATGTGCTTCACTTCCGGTGAAGACACTTTCAAAATGTCTGTTGAATGAAAAGTAACTCCTGCTGTTAAAATAATTCTGCAGTAGATCTGAACCGGCACAGGT